TGCCAGGGCTCTGCTGGGCTCAGCCCCAGGCACAGCTGGGCTCACCCTGCCCTCCCATTGCTCTGACAGCTTTGCATCACACGAGCCCGTTCCCAGCACACCGCCTGAGCTTTCTGCTTTTGCAGGTGAGTGAGACTCTCCTGCAGGCCAAGAAATTGCACTTAGGGACACACATCCAATTGGCAAGAACCCAAACTCTCCACAGTTCCAGCTGAATGCCTGCATCTGCACAGGATGTTTTCTATGTCCCACTCTTCCTTTCTTTTTGGCTGCAATTGTGCAATTGCACTTTTCTTCCTCCTCTAGAAGTGCCACTGCTGTGTTCCTGAGGCAGTGCAGTCTGGAGCTGATGGATGAAGAATCGCCCTTCTGCACTTCCAAACCAGAGCAAAAAGCTGTAAGTGGGACTTTGCATCTTTAAGAAACCCCTGAATGTTTGAAAGGGAATGTGCAGCTCATTCACAGGGTGAGAAGGAAGGGCACCTTCTAAAGGATTTGGGGTTTGACAGAGTTTAGATTCCCAGTGCTGCTTGGAGCTGGCAAGGCACAAACCACTTTCTTCTTGTTTCACTCCAATTTCACCACAATTTAAAATAACAATATTGGAATCCAACCCCAAAAGCTTTTTCAAAAAGGTTCCTGAGGCCGGTAAGATGCATCATGCCATCAGCACATTTACAAATTAAATAACTGAGTTTTATGTTTCAAAAGACCAATTACACCTTAATTCAAAGTCATAGAAGATTTTTTCACTTCACACTTGGGTTCTGTTTTTATCTTTCACATTTTATAGAAGTTTTTTCCTTCTATTTTTCCACATTTTTTCCCCTTAAAACAGAAATCATGCTATGAAAAAGAAGTGTCCTTTGCTCCTGGTTCCTGTGTGGAGCAGCTCCCTTCCCGCTGGCTGAGCTGCTCAGGCAGAGCCCAGCAGCTCCTGGCCCTGCAGGGCTGAGGCTTTTCCCCGTTGCTGGGCACAGACTGATGGAGCAGCACTGCTGAACACAGGGACACGCAGAGGGAGCAGAGCAGCTGCCTTTGCCCACCTGAAGCTCCAAGGCCAAACTCTGAGCAGGCACGGCTGGAAGAGACTCGCAGGCTCCCTGTTGGCTCTGCTGCCCCACTTGTGCCTGGCCCAGCTCTGCGTGAGGCACAGGGAGAACAAGGGGCAGCTTCCTCCCAGCCCCAGCCCAGGGACCCCTCCAGCCCCTGGCCTTGGGGCACTGTCAGCACCCGCTGCTCCAGCCACGGCTTGTGCTGGCACTGACAGCAACAACCAAACTGGGGCTGGTCCCGAGGGAGCAGCAGCAGTGCCTGGATCTGATCCCTCAGTGTGGGGCAGTGCTGGAAATATGATCGCAGCAGCAGCACCACCAGCAGCAGCACCAGCGCCAGCAGCACCAGCAGTAGCATCAGCAGCAGCACCACCAGCAGCAGGAGCAGCAGCAGCACAGCACCAGCAGCAGGAGCAGCAGCAGCAGCAGCAGCAGCACCAGCAGCACCAGCAGTACCAGCACCACCACCAGCACCAGCTTCACCAGCAGCGCCAGCAGCAGCACCACCAGCAGCAGCAGCAGCAGCAGCACCAGCAGCAGAACCACCAGGGACAGGACCAGCACCAGCATAAACCAGCAGCAGCAGCAGCATCACCACCAGCAGCATCAGTGGCAGCACCAGCAGTACCAGCACCAGCACCAGCACCAGCACCAGCACCAGCAGCACCAGCAGTACCAGCAGTAGCAGCAGAACCAGCTCCAGCAGAACCCGCTCCAGCAGCTCCAGCAGCAGCAGCAGCACCAGGGGCAGGATCAGCAGCAGCAGCAGCAGCAGCACCAGCAGAACCAGCTCCAGAAGCACCAACAGCAGCAGCACCACCAAAAGCAGCACCAGCAGCAGCACGACCAGCAGCCGAAGCAGCAGCAGCAGGACCAGCAGCACCAGCAGCACCAGCACCAACACCAACAGCACCAGCAGTGCCAGCAGCACCAGCAGCAGCAGCACCAGCAGCAGCACCAGCAGCAGCAGCACCAGCAGCACCAACAGTACCAGCAGAACCAGCAGCGGCAGCAGCACCAGGGACAGGACCAGCACTAGCTTCACCAGCAGTGCCAGCAGCAGCAGCACCAGCAGCACCAGCAGCACCGGTACCAGCAGCAGCACCACGACCACCAGCAGCAGCATCAGCAGCAG